CACTGCATATTAAACAACAAATAATAATGCACTCAAATTTACCTTCTGATTATCTGACAGGTTGAGAATGTACACTTTTCCACGTACAAGAGGATTGACCTGCATCCACAAGCAGTGATTGACAAACTGAAATATATTGTAGACTACCTTGTGTCTGCACCCAAGTGAATGTATACATGCATAAAAATGACACACAAAAAGTTCTTCAAAAAAATTGCATACCGATTCTACAGACAAGAGAGCCTGTGACAATGCTTCTATTTAATTAGTACACAAATGATCATACATGGGTAAATATGTCCTGTTTGAAACTTGAAACAGTAGATTAATATGTTCCACTTACGGTGTGTGCAAAGGCAGTAACTTTGTCTCCTATTTTGTATGTTGATGCTGACACATCTTCATCATCCCTAAATCCTTTCACTGCCAGCTTACTACAACATCAAATCACAATTTCAAATCATAATAGTGGCAACGTCAGTGATGTCAGTCATGGACTTATGCAAAATATTTTCTCAATGACAACATTATAGAAAAGAGTACCTGAAATGCTTTATAATCAGACACTGCATCTATTAAAATATGAGTGCTCACCTGGGCTTCAGTGAACACTCTGGAATAGCTTTGGAACATTTTGGATTGGAAATTGGAAGGTACCTGAAAATATGAATTGGGATATTTCTTATCATTGCTGGTTGAAGACGTTGAAAATGCAACATACTCTAATTCATTATAAGTATGTACATTCTCTAAAATACAATAGGGACTGTGTCAGTACATAAAAATTACCCCTTTTAATTTAGGTAGGTCTTGATTAATTTTGATTAATTTACCTGTATGACTTTGAATCTCTGAACCCAATAATCTTGACCTTCACCTCTTGGTTCACTTTATAGTCTTCAAATGGTGATTTTCCCTGCAAAATTACTTTGACAAATTATCACTAAAAAGGAAGCTTCACTGAAATGGCTCATTACAATGTTGTCTACCTAAAATCTTCTTCCTAGCAGATTAAAGATAAAAGATTTCTTTTCATGGCACTATTTTCCCACTGTTGCAGAAAAATAAAACGCAGTAAAATCAGGCATTCATTGACAAGTGCAATACTACAGTTTAATCCTATTAACTGCACAGTAGACCACTGGGGAAATTTTACCAAAAGATCCAATACCTCCTCAATGTCATCCACCACTTCTGATATACATATTCTACCTGGCACATCTCCAATGCTGATGTTTATCTGCAGATCAAGAAACTTGTGGATGCTGTTCAAAATGAAATAGCACATCTAAGTCATAAAAATAAAAAAGTTAAAAATCACAGCATCACATTCACACATTAATTTAGATCACCAAGTACTTAATAAATATTACTTTCAAAAAAGTGGGCATCATTTCAAAAACCATACAATAACTATGCTAAAATTGGACTTGAACTGTATAAAACAGTCAATTAATTGCAAAAAGAGATCTCTTGGTTGATGAGAAAACCATAAGCATTACCTTTGTATCTATAAATATCCTTTGCACAATACAAATGGAAATTATATCAAGCACAAAGCTGTCCTAAAAGTCTCACACCCAACTTTTGCACTTAACAGTCCAAAACCGGAAATAGGTTGAAAGAATTATTTTGACTTATGTGAGTGAAAATTATGTATGTATAATATAAGTCCACTAAAAATCCCACTCACACAGCCTTGACCCTGGCTCCCAGCTTAAGCTTGTGCTCTGGCACTCCTCTTGATTTTTCTTTCTCAGCCTCCTCCCGCTCGGCATTTTTTTCTTCATGTGTTTGCAGGCTCAACAAAATGTGGTCCATGTATATCCTAAAATGGATCATGTTTCACAGTTCACATCTTTTTACTACCTTAAACTAGAACAGTTGGTTTCAGTCTTTTAATCTATTTCTTGGACCTATCAAAATGCTAAATGCAAGAGAAAACTATTTACGTACCTCTTCACAACCACTGAATTTGTTTGGTTGATGCTAAACTGGTGTTTCTCCAGAAAGTCATTTGGATGCTGGAAACACAGAGAGTAGAGGACTTATATGGAAGAATAAACAATCTGACTGTAAAGGGGTAAATCATTTGGTGACAACATTTGTTATTTGAAGTGAAATAGTTGAATTTTAGGCAGGTATTTACAGNTCCATGTACCTATAAGTCTATTTAATCAATATCATAACTTTTTATACTTTCACATTTTTATTACTCTCGACCTACAAATTGCTGCTCGCGGTATCTCCTCTACACAAAACAATGACGTAACGTTATCTGCTGTGCACTGAAGCTGGTTAAGAACAATGTGCCTCGTTTCAAATTGTCTTTCAACTTCATATCACACAGACGGAACTTCGAAAACGAGGCCACTGAGAGGGAGACTGTTGGTTACATTTCGATACGAGCGTTCGATTGCAAGCTATGGTTAGTTCTTTGCTTCTATAAAAGTGGGTGAAAACAGTGAGTTTATTTGATAGTTTGCTGAAATCGCTTGTGAACATAGACAAAATAAAAGGTGAAAATAGGCTGTAAAAATAGCCAGCCCGTCGGGCGGGTAATCTGCAAATCTTACCCGCCTGGCCTGAAAGTTACCAGCCTCGGGCTGGCGGGCAGGCGGCCATTTCATACACTGGTATTTATAGTTTACACCTACACTGAACAATTATTATCTTCACTAGGGAAAGGTGAAACAAACCTTGATTAATGAGGGCTTTCTGCTCTCTCCCACTAGTACCTAACTCACCTTCTTAGCAGGTAGGTATCCCAGCTTACCAAGGGCATGCCCCTTTAATGAAACCAGGATGAAGTCATCTTTGATGAGTAACACATCACATTTCATATGCTGGCCAGGTTTAACCTTAAAGTATAACATGTATGTATATAAAACAAAATGTACATTGTACACACATCCATGGAATTTTTAAGAAACTTAACACTATATATGTAGGTGCATTTTTCTGAGGCCTATTCTTTCCATTTCACAGCTCGTACAGCCTTGTTTATACAAACAAAGCCTTGACATCATATCATGTGAAAAATCTAAAATTCATTCAAAATGAAATTCTAAGGAGAATGCTCTGCATCCTTTAATCAAGAGAATCCTAAACAACTCAGTAACATGTTTATTAGGGCCATGTGGAATGTAAATGTTATCTAACATGTTTTACCCTCTTGAAATAAAGACTATTATTATTATTAATGCAAAGTTATTCTACCTGTGAAAATTTATTCTCCCTTTTATGTTTGATAGCCTTGACCAGTTCCTGGTTGAAGGCCAGTTCTAAGCAGCTGGCCAGGACATCTATATGTAAGACCACAGCCTCCAAGTGGTCTCCAGGCTGACAGGTCACACCTGAGATAGAGGTCAATGACATTCTTGAATTGTATGTACACTTTATATGTGAAATAGTGGTAAACCAAACATACAATACTAAGCAAAACTTATTGCTATGGGTTAGACCATTTTCTGATTCAAAAACTTATCTGAAGAATGATACAATTCCAAAGGAAAATACACTGTCACAATTGGCATTCACTTTTTATAATATAAAATAAAATAAACATTCTGCATAATTTCATTTACTGGTGAATGATACGAACCAATCATATTTTCATAAGTGACCACGCCCCTGAGTCCGCTCTCCAGATTACATAGTGCTCCATGTTCAGTAACCTCAGCAACAGTGACACTAACTACGCTCCCTACGGCTATCTCTGACAGTCTGTGCTTCTGACCTAAAATTTATAACCTTAAATATAAGAAAAAATACAGAACAGAACAGAAAGTCACAATCTATTCTGAATTGTAAAGCAAACCACATTAAAGGATAGTATGTATGTCTTAAAGGCAGAGAAAAAATGAACTCACGATCTTAAGAAAAAGACAAAAGAGAAATTAAACTAATATTTCAGTCTTGAGTCACCCTTTTTTGGTTCCTTAAACCTTCTGCTTTTTGCCAACATACCCTTTTTTCCCTCAAGTTTTGATAACATCAAGTCCCTCTCCACTAAATAATCCTCTAAATGGTCAATACCAATGCTGGTGTCATCATGATAACAGTCAGACATTCGTAAACTCAGCAGAAATCGCTTTTTTTCTTCATCCACTTCAATGATCTTGGCAATCACTGATTGACCCACTTTGTAGAGGGAGGATGCATCTGCTACCCTCTTGTCTGACATAAACTAAACCAAAAACAAAGATATGAAATTAAAGAACAAGAGAAAATAGAAATTACATAAGTTGGTATGCATAAAAACCTATAAGACAAAATTTCAAACAACACCCTTCTTAACAAGGGCATAAAAAGATATGAATTTACACTCATAACAATTACATGGAAAAATATACACTGTCAGATAAAAGAAAGCACCAAGAACGATCAATATTAAAAACCACTTTGCTTATATAATAAAATAACTATTGTCACTGATCATACTCCCTACCTTGGTTGGAGCAAGGCCTATCAGAGCATTGCATGTGTCCACAAACACACCATATTCCATCACTTTGTGTATCACACCAGGAAACAACAGGCCAGGCTAATAAACAGATCAGAAAAATTCATAAAAATTAGTCCATCTGCTAAATAACCTCTGTGGTATAATTACACCTGTAACCGCATACATGTTTCTAACTACCTTTAAAATGAGAAAAGTGGCATTAGGAGGGAGACTTGACTAGCCATGATTAAACCACTGAATGTGTTCACTTCCACCAAACAGAGTGTGTGTCTTGAAGCCAGTTTAATGGCCTTTGTCTTCTGCCATCATGCTGAAAACCTTTAAATCAACCAATGCAGTAATGAAGTGGGCTGTTCTTCACACAAAAGAACAACTAGGTCTTTCTATTGCCATACACTGGAGATACGGTAAATAAACAACTGGAGGGCAAAGCTGTGAAGAATTAAAACTAAAATCACTACTAAAAATGAGGTTACTACAGCAGATTCATTAATTGTCTAAATATATAAGGCACAAGAAATTTAATGCCTACTTTTATCTTGGAAAATTCTGTGATAAGGTTGTCATCTTTCGCAGCCTGAACAAAAGATGGTTTTTTGGTCAAAGTCTGAGAATGAGTTAAGGCATATTTCGAAATAATTTTTTTAATTGTTACATGCATACACTGATAACGATGACGGTCTTAAAAATGACTATGGAAATATTGTGTAAGGATACAAGCACACTGCTTCTATTAAAATACATTGCACTCTTGATGACATTTCCTTCGCTATATGAATCCCATAATACTTCACAGTTCTCCATATGGTCTGATAGATGAGCTTTGGGAATGAAGGCCCGCAGTCGGGATGGTAACAGTGCCACATCAAAACCACTATCAGTCTTCTTCGTAATTTTACAGTCAACCAGCTGTGGATAAAATACAGTACACAAGATTTAATATAAGGATACAAGAACTTGTCATATAACTTGATAAGTAAAACTCATACCATTTGCTATTCATTTGCTAAATTTCAAAAGATAATGTACCTTTCCAATCTCAAAGTCTTCAGGAACTGTTGCCAGTTTACTTCCAAATGGAGTCCTTTCAGATACCTGCAAATCAGAACAGATGAAACAATTGAAACTGTTTACTTTGCTTCTTTGAGAAAGATTGAAAAAATTCTTTCCAATGCATGTCAGTTTAATAGTACTGAAAATTCCCGTTTACAGTTTTAAATATGAAATGTATGTCTATTTAAAGAGGACGTATGAGTAGCAGTGATTTGATCCCCATGGTACATAATTGTTTTCATTAGCCAATACCTTAAACGACAAGGTAGCTCTTTCTTCATCTGGGAAACAGTTCAACACCCTACACTTTACAACTTGACCTATGTAAAACATTTTCTCAGGATAGTCTATCTTCTCTGCACTCAGCTCTTTCTTTGGGACAAACCCCTGAAATGTGGAAAATGTGGAAATGTGGAAAATAATACAGAACAAGCCAATCTGTGTTATTTTCAAAAAGCACTTAAAAGAGAACATACACCTTGCATACTCTTCAGTACTGAAAATCTAACATGTTCATTTTACACATCATCAAACAATTTTTAAAGTACAAAACATTAAAAACAAACATCAGCATAAATGTTATGTATAGTATAAATTAAAAGTTCTCCTCCATTGATTAGGTTTGCAGCAATGTCTTGTATATACCTTAACATTGTTATAGAGTGCCACCAATACTCCTGCATCCATAATTTTGACAATGAATCCATCCACTGTGATGCCTGTCTCCAGCTGACTATATTGGGTTATGATGGGAAGTTTAGAGTTCACTAAAGACCTTTTGTGAGTGAGGATCAGTCTCTGTTTCGCAGGATCAACATTTAAAACCTGGAAAGATCAAGCTTAATAAAATTATACTTTTTCACCTTACAAGTTACTAATAATAAAAGTAGCTAATATGAACAAGTACGCATCATCTGCTCATTTAAGTTGACACAGTCTGTGTGCAAACATTTTAGCATACTGATCCTCCAAGCCATCAGGGTCTGAGAATCTACTGGCCCAAAGAAGAGAACAGTGGCCAAAATTTAAATGGATGAAATGTGACATATCATCAATTTTAGCAATAAACAATAGTTTCCCCTGGCTAAAAAGGTGAGTGAGGTGGTAAGTTTTTATATCTTCTTGTGTTTTTGCCTATTCTCTGGTCCTAGCAGAAAGAGCATCACAGAGAGTTGTGGAAAAAACCTGTGAGAGGAGAGGAATCCACAGAATATTTTGAAAAAAATTGGGGAAAATGTTGCATTCTGAACACATTTAATGGGACTGCTTTTTAAAATGATCCTTACTCTGCATTTCATTTTTTGGCTTTCTTTAAACTTCTTTTCTGGCTGCTTTAGTGCTGCATCAAAAAGATGAATGGTGGGAACAAAACCTCTGATTTGATTGGAAACCTTCACAGACACGCCCTTCTTGTGAATTCCTTGCACATTGCACTAAAAAGAGATGATTACTGGACTATAAAACACACTTCTGCAAGAAAACTATATTTTTCAATACTTCATTCCATGAAATCATTCAGTTACTTAATAAAATGTTGATCAACTTCTTTATCAAATTTATTACTTATTAAACTTTATGTCAACCACCCATTTCAAATAATTTCCTCTGAAATTATATTTTAGGTAGAAAACTGTCTCATAAAAACAAAGTTTAAGTTTATTCATGGTAACATAGGCATCCACCTGGATGGATGAAAATGACAATATAAATGTAATTTTAAATGAGTATGCTATTAATCAATTACAAGTTGTGTGACTACTCCTAACTTAATGACGACAATTGTTTAAGCCAAGTTACTTTTACTACTACTCAATTGCCAATAGTTGCAGCACTGTCCTCTAGATCCCTCCTAGCAAAAGCAAAGGAGAGAAACTGAACTAATGCAATGAGGGTTTCTTCTTCTTTGGATTTCATGTAAACTTATCTAAAGTATAACATAAAAACAAGAGTAATGCTTTTTCCCCACTCTCACCTCTACAACCATCCCTGGGTGAATGTCTTGGTAGCCAAGGAATTTCTGATTTAAAACACTCCTGAAGGATAAAAGGCCAACTTGTAAAGCGTATATGCTATTAACAATATGCTTTTAACTTAGGTAATCTGTTTTATAAACACTGCTACATGCAGAATAAATTGTACACAGTTTAGTTATCAATGCAATTTTAGTTCTTTACAGTTAATGTTACTTTATCTTTGAAACAATGCTGAAAATATTTTAACATGATAATTATTCAGTGCTTCATTGCATGTATTCTGTACTTACTCTTTGCATGATACAAGCATTATATTGTCCATATAGTCATGATCAAGTACCCTACACCTAAATTTAAAAAAAACAAAAAAACAATGAATTTGTAACATGCTAAGACAAACATTTACCAACTTATACATTATTTTTCCACCTTAAGTATACACCATCAAATATTGCATTAAATGGATTTACTGAAAGTTCTTTATGCTTTGATCTTAAACTATAGTTGGTCTGCAATAGCTGGGTGCCCCTACCTGTGAGTGGATCCTGCTCTGAAGACTTGAGCAATGTCTTTGATTTCTTTGTCACTAAGGTTTTTTAACTTGAGGAAGATTAATGAAAAACATATAAATCAGAAATTTAAAACACTCCATTTTTTTAATCTAAGAATTATTTAACTGAAATGCAATTTGAATGATATAAATACATTTATCATATCAACTAAATTAAAATCTGGCCATGATCATATTAAAACGAGTTCCAAACATATATAACACTTACAGGTGCAAAAGCTGTCACATTCTTCTCAAGTCTGAGGTAGACGCCTTTAGTCTTGTCCACACTTAACACCTCAGCCTTCTCTATGACTGACCCAGGAGAAAAAGATGCCAGCAAATCGTTTGATGGTTGTACTTCCTTGAGGTGTGGAAGCATGGATAAGGATATGGATTTTGTTGTTGGATGGATGTACAAGATTGTGCCTCTGACCTAGACAAGGAAATATATAGTAGTTATAATTATAAATTAACTAATTATATAATATGAATAAGCTGAAGACAAACATATGCTCAAAAAGGCAAAAAGGAGCTGGTCACCAAGCACTTTAATGTGCCACTTCAAAGCAACGACAATTTTTGTTTATTTGCACTGCTTATGCACACCACTTTTCATAAAATGATAAAAGATATTTAACTGGTCTACAGTTGATGGTTTACACATATTTCATTTGAAAAAAACAATAACATTAATTGCCTCATTTTAAGAAGCAATTTGCAGTAGAGCAAACACTCACCTCTTCCTGTTTCTGAAAACTCTGAGGATCTTTCATTAAATGAGATTTGTTGATGATGCCAGAATAAGTCAGGAACTTCACGCCAATGCCACTCTCATATAACTGAAAAAGTTGCAAAATTTCTATAATTTAACTAGGCAGCAAAACTTACAAATATACAGTCATGATGTGGACAGACATACCAGTCAGAATATCAGTGTCTGTATATAAAAATTGTATTGTAATCAGAAGAAATATAAGCAAAATTAAGTTATAATAAGTCTATCATTATATATTATGTGATAACAAACCCATATGTAATAAATCAAAAACTTTACCTTGCTTATCTTTGCATTTACAAGCATGCCTGGTAGCAAATTCTGCAATGTTGATCCATCTGGGACCTAAAAATGTAGGCAACCATGGTCATGTACAATTAAACATATGTAAAACAAACCCCAAAGAGTGAATGGTTTTCAATTACATACAGTCTCAGAGAAATAATTCTGTTAATATAATATTATATGCCATATGCACAGTAGCTATGTAAATATCCTCAAAAAATAAGGTAACCTTGTTTCAACAAAATCAACTTTTTTCTATTGAAGTGCAGCTGCAGTGATCTGTGGGCAAACCCATACAAGCCACAGCTCTAACCTAATGGTACAAATTAACATAATTCAACAATTACCACAGCATCATTCAACTCTTTCAGGCTGATAGTGACTTGAATGGTCCTGGTGTCTCCACTCATCAATCCCAATGATGAGCTTCCCTTTACTTTACATTTCAGATGCTGTCCTGGGTGAAGCACACATCCTTTAAAACAAACACTTCCATTTAATTTTCATATTCATAAGACATTTTACAAAGAAAGATAAATTATCATATTCACTTCAAATATATTAAATTATTATTCAAATATAATGAACAATCCCACATGTCAGGGGTACCTTTTCCTAATCCTTTAGCAGCATCTTTATTCCCTAGAAAAGCTTGGACTCCTTTTATTCCAACATCTAGCACATAACCATGGTCTTCCTTACTGGACACAGAACAAGGAATCACCTGAGAATAAACTGTACATTGTAGGCCAATAAGACCAAATACTTCATTAATTCATTTTAAAAAACATGACATTCAAACTAAACAGTTTATATTTTTCAAAATTGCTCAAGGATGTGATTTGTTGTTGGGGGGGACTGAAAATTGAAGATGCTGTACAATTAACTCAGAAAAGTTTTTAAAAATAGAAGTTAAAAATTAAGTTTAAAAAAAGGAATCCGAAACAAAAAACCCAAATGAATAACATCCCTGAGTGCTGTGTTAGTCAAAACAACTGACCATTTGCCAAAACACATTATGCATGCATAGAAAAAGTCAGTCAGAGCTTACATATGTACAGGCAACCTAAATCAGTTAAAACATAAAAAATGACATGATAGAAACTTTGAGCTTAAAAACAGCAATATATAAGCTTTGAGTCCCTTATCATGCCCACTTTCAATTTTGACCTGCACTGTAAGGCAATAAAGTATTAATAAAAGTTTGAGCCAAAATGGGAACAGTGATATGTTACTTCCATTATAAATTACTTACTAAGATCAAGAAATGCACATGGCTCTCTTGTGTTCACATCTAATGAAATGAAAATTTCAAGATGGTCACCTACCATCCCTCCCTTTAATCCTGAGGCTTGAAGGGACTTGTTCACCTCGCCTGGGTTGATAGTTAGCTTCAACCTTTTCTTCCCTGCTTTTTTCCCTCCTACTAACTCAACACACTTGCAGCACAGTACTTGGCCCACAGTGAACAGGTCATGTAGGCTAGGTATGTCCTTCCCAAAACAAAAAAGTCAAAGTGCATGGACAATATTCATACAATTCTCAATTTTGATGAACATTTGAAGATCAATTTGTTAAACACTTGAAAAAATACTTTTTACCGAAAATTACTTTATAAAACTTTTCTTCTCCTTTGTACCATGATATGATATGATAGGTGCTACTTGTACTTGTTCACCTCACTAAAGTTCACTTCTTTTCCTCTATCTTCTTTTCACTGTAAAAGGTTATAAAACACCATAAAAACTTTGAATCATTAAGTCTTACCTCTTCTTTCTCACCATCATTATTTGCCACCATCTGCTGCAATAGCTTAGTATAGGTGTCACTTATGCTTGTAATGGGGACAAACCCCTTCAATCCACTGGGGAGATTGAGAACCAACTCATATTGTTGGATCTCTTTCACACATCCTAAGATCAGCATTCCTGGAGATACAGCCTACAGCAAGCATTTTAAGATGGTTGAATTGAGGAAGAAAACAACAAGCTATAAAACGTAACTCTTTTCCTTTACCTTTTATAATAATATACTGAAAAGGGTTTTGTACATTAGATGACAAAAAGTTAATACAAGGGTCTACTAATTTTATAAATATGTCAAAATATCAGTATCTGTCTCATCTCTGTCCTTTGACATTATGATTGCAAAACATATTCATGAAAAAAATAAGAATTACAGACAAAGCTATATCTTAATTAATAACCAAACAAAATCATTGTTGCTTACTTTAAATACTAATGTCTCAGAACCAAAAGTGGCTTCTGATCTGGATTGGTCCTTATCAGACTTCAGTTTCTTTCTTTTTATACCATCCTTAGAAGAACTTCCTCGTTTCCTTGATTTATTTTCTTTAGTCTGTTATATACAATATGCTGGTTAATTAATGACAAAGACAAAAAGACAATAACAATTAATTGATTCAGATCATTTAAAAAATGCAAATGGATTTTTACAAAAACAATAATGCAAAGCAAGATTGAGCATTTACTTTCAAGAAAATGTATAAATCGAAAACTGACTATAATAATCAGACAAATGGACCTACCTTGAAAAAGTCCTCATCTACATTTGTTATCTGACTGTTTTTGCTTTTTTCCTTCCCACCGCGTGGAAAAGCCTCTTCAATTGCAGCCATTTTCTAGTAACTGGAATAAAAGGAAGTTGATTACTGGGAGAAATGGACAGGAATTGTACTGTATGTGTCCATAATTCTGTCTCCCAATAGTTATAGATTATGAAAAAGAAATTATCTGAACTGTCTAACAGCATGGCTCCTTTTTCTTTAAGCCCACCTAATCCCTACTTTGAGCCTACATCACAAGCAGCTTTTCCTAAGCATCAGATGGCACTCTAGTTTGACTTCCAAGTTCAACAGAGGCATAAGGACCCGATTCTGGTATTTTCATATTTCGGATTGGATTTAAAAAAATAAGGAAGGATGCAGCCCATTTAATTTAAGGTAGGTGAGGTTAATCCAAGGTCTTTTTCTTATATTATAAATAAATAAATTAATTAATTAATTGAGCCTATTTTCTGCATATTTGTTTCAGAAGCTTCAATTAGATTTTACACTATAGGGTACTGGTATATGAGGTATGTACTAACTAGTACAGTGATTCAATTTGAAAATACTTAAAAGTTTGCATATCCACCCTGATGCAAGAGCTCTCAAATTTTTTATTTTACATCATCCACTCACGTTGCTTTGGCAACGGGAAAACAGGACGGTTTTATAGGAGTATGCGAGTGGAGGAGATTTGAGAGAAGACAAAATTTTAAGAGCTCCTGCATCAAGATGGGTGTGCAAACTGGCTTTTTTTTTTTTTTTTTTTTTTTACATGGTGCCACTAAAAAGCTAAATAACTTTTGACCTATATGATATAGCCCTAAGATTTAAATGTTCTGCTCATAATCAGATAAGTAGCTATATACGCTTTAAATTTCAAGTCTCTAACTTAATCAAAAAGTAAAAATCATGTGTGGACTCATCATCATGTTTCAATGTTGGGATTTTGTGACCTGCAGCCTGCAAGGATATGGTGTACTGTAGAAGTGTTCATAAACTCAGCTCTGTTTTGTGTATAATTTCACTCCGCACATAATCAGTGGAACATTCAGTGTACTGCTTCGTGATCTCTAAATATGAAATCTCTTGAAACTCACATGCTTACCAATTTGCTGTTACACCAACATGCCGTACATGCTTTGCTCACGTTGTTTAACTTTCTGCGGGATGACTGTCACGAATGTAACGTGATTTCACGAGACATAGAGNACAGTTTTCCACTTATCGTGTTATCGGTAAAAGTGCACGGCGACGACGGCAACGACGGCGACGACGACGACAGACGCAGATGACGGCTATATGTACAGACACATCTTCTCTGTACATAAAAATGACATGATAGAAACTTTGAGCTTAAAAACAGCAACATATAAGCTTTGAGCCCCTTATCATGCCCACTTTCAATTTTGACCTGCACTGTAAGGCAGTAAAAGTATCAATAAAAGTTTGAGCCAAAATGGGAACAGTGATATGTTTCTTCCATTATAAATTACTTACTAAGATCAAGAAATGCACATGGCTCTCTTGTGTTCACATCTAATGAAATGAAAATTTCAAGATGGTCACCTACCATTCCTCCCTTTAATCCTGAGGCTTGAAGGGACTTGTTCACCTCGCCTGGGTTGATAGTTAGCTTCAACCTTTTCTTCCCTGCTTTTTTCCCTCCTACTAACTCAACACACTTGCAGCACAGAACTTGGCCCACAGTGAACAGGTCATGTAGGCTAGGTATGTCCTTCCAAAAACAAAAAAGTCAAAGTGCATGGACAATATTCATACAATTCTCAATTTTGATGAACATTTGAAAATCAATTTGTTAAACACTTGAAAAAATACTTTTTACCGAAAATTACTTTATAAAACTTTTCTTCTCCTTTGTACCATGATATGATATGATAGGTGCTACTTGTACTTGTTCACCTCACTATAGTTCACTTCTTTTCCTTTATCTTCTTTTCACTGTAAAAGGTTATAAAACACCATAAAAACTTTCAATCATTAAGTCTTACCTCTTCTTTCTCACCATCATTACTTGCCACCATCTGCTGCAATAGCTTAGTATAGGTGTCACTTATGCTTGTTATGGGGACAAACCCCTTCAATCCATTGGGGAGATTGAGAACCAACTCATATTCTTGGATCTCTTTCACACATCCTAAGATCAGCATTCCTGGAGATACAGCCTACAGCAAGCATTTTAAGATGGTTGAATTGAGGAAGAAAACAACAAGCTATAAAATGTAACTCTTTTCCTTTACCTTTTATAATAATATACTGAAAAGGGTTTTGTACATTAGATGACAAAAAGTTAATACAAGGGTCTACTAATTTTATAAATATGTCAAAATATCAGTATCTGTCTCATCTCTGTCCTTTGACATTATGATTGCAAAACATATTCATGAAAAAAATAAGAATTACAGACAAAGCTATATCTTAATTAATAACCAAACAAAATCATTGTTGCTTACTTTAAATACTAATGTCTCAGAACCAAAAGTGGCTTCTGATCTGGATTGGTCCTTATCAGACTTCAGTTTCTTTCTTTTTATACCATCCTTAGAAGAGCTTCCTCGTTTCCTTGATTTATTTTCTTTAGTCTGTTATATACAATATGCTGGTTAATTAATGACAAAGACAAAAAGGCAATAACAATTAATTGATTCAGATCATTTAAAAAATGCAAATGGATTTTTATAAAAACAATAATGCAAAGCAAGATTGAGCATTTACTTTCAAGAAAATCATGTATAAATCGAAAACTGACTATAATAATCAGACAAATGGACCTACCTTGAAAAAGTCCTCATCTACATTTGTTATCTGACTGTTTTTGCTTTTTTCCTTCCCACCGCGTGGAAAAGCCTCTTCAATTGCAGCCATTTTCTAGTAACTGGAATAAAAGGAAGTTGATTACTGGGAGAAATGGACAGGAATTGTACTGTATGTGTCCAGAATTCTGTCTCCCAATAGTTATAGATTATGAAAAAGAAATTATCTGAACTGTCTAACACCATATGGCTCCTTTTTCTTTAAGCCCACTTCATCCCTACTTTGAGCCTACATCACAACCAGCTTTTTCTAAGCATCAGATGGCACTCTAGTTTGACTTCCAAGTTCAACAGAGTCATATGGACCCGATTTTGGTATTTTCATATTTCGGATTGGATTTCAAAAAATAAGGAAGGATGCAGCCCATTTAATTTAAGGTAGGTGCACCAAGTGTGAGGTTAATCCAAGGTCTTTTTCTTATATTATAAATAAATAAATTAATTAATTGAGCCTATTTTCTGCATATTTGTTTCAGAAGCTTCAATTAGATTATACACTATAGGGTACTGGTATATGAGGTATGAACTAACTAGTACAGTGATTCAATTTGAAAATACTTAAAGTTTGCATATCAACCCTGATGCAAGAGCTCTCAAATTTTTTATTTTACATCATCCACTCATGTTGCTTTGGCAATGGGAAAACTGGATGGTTTTATAGGAGTATGCGAGTGGAGGAGATTTGAGAGAAGACAAAATTTTAAGAGCTCCTGCATCAAGATGGGTGTGCAAACTGGCTTTTTTTTTTTTTTTTTTTTGACATGGTGCCACTAAAAAGCTAAATAACTTTTGACCTATATGATATAGCCCTAAGATTTAAATGTTCTGCTCATAATCAGATAAGTAGCTATATACGTTTTAAATTGCAAGTCTCTAACTTAATCAAAAAGTAAAAATCATGTGTGGACTCATCATCATGTTTCAATGTTGGGATTTTGTGACCTGCAGCCTGCAAGGATATGGTGTAATGTAGAAGTGTTCATAAACTCAGCTCTGTTTTGTGTATAATTTCACTCCGCACATAATCAGTGGAACATTCAGTGTACTGCTTCGTGATCTCTAAATATGAAATCTCTTGAAACTCACATGCTTACCAATTTGCTGTTACACCAACATGCATGCTTTGCTCACGTTGTTTAACTTTCTGCGGGATGACTGTCACGAATGTAACGTGATTTCACGAGACATAGAGTTGTAGGACCTTGACTTTACCAACTTCTCCAGGTAAACCGTTTCTTTCTTTTTTTGCATACAACGACATATTTGTGGGCATTTTTTGTGTTGAAATAGAAATATGGCACATAAATTTATCAATGGCTTTACTGTCATAAGACAAAACCATTAAATAAGGGAACAATAATAAGGCAAACATCAGCGTCTTGAGACTAGAAAGCCGACAAGCGTGATCGGATTTTGTGGATGCATTCAGCTTATCTGCTCCCGATTTTTTCTTTTATTATCCGGGTATCGGCTACCCCAGTATCTTTTGTCCTGTGCGGTTGATTAGCACATAGATTTGTTTTGTTTTTTATATATGCTGTAGTGATCGATACTGAAGTCATAATGTAAACTATTTCAGATGAAAGTCGATCTACAGAGCTTAAAGACCCCAATTTTCACCCATTTTCACCCATGCCTCGTTTGATACCGTAGACTATTAGTGAACTTAAACTCTCACATGAATTGCACAGTGATGAAAATCTCGAAAAAAAGGCTGCTTACACTTACAAAATTCAGGTCTGAACAGGCAAGATCCATCAGCTAGTATTGCCAGCATAACCTTAGTAAAGTGTAGAAAGCATATATAGAATGTGCTTAGATGAAATCTTCAGGGATAGATCCCTGGCCAAAATGATAACAGAAATATGAGCTTGTACAGATTACATTTGCCATATAAATTCAGGATATTTTTACTGTTTAATACAAATGTTTGGCAAATGTTAAAAGTATATATATCAGAGTTATTGGGGGGGGGGGGGGGGATCCAAGGGCTTTTTTATGTTAGCATGAAAAGTCATGTGTTAACACTTCTATATATAGACAGTCTTTGATATGTTCTGTTAGCACAACAGTACATAAAGCAGATCATATGAAGGAAAACTAATGCATGGATTTTCATTCTAGGGTCTTTTGTGGTTCATTTTTGTTTTATATAGGGATGCATGTCTATCTTATAGCATATTTTATTGGGCATATTGTAGATAAAGCATAGAATGGATGATGCCTCCTTTAAAGTTAATAAAAGTGTTAGACTTTACTATAAGTGCAGTTTTTTATTATTTTAGAACCATGGGTATCACTTATGTGAAACCAACAGATGGGTTCAATGCTGCTGAAAGAGAAGTCAACAAGGCATGTAAAAGTACCTTTGACAGAATGTTTTGTATGAAAACTGCGACAGGAAAAGGAAATGTAAGTGAAACATAGACAACCATTAAAAGCACATATACACAAGGCGATTGTCTCACAGATGGAGTTAATGACTCAGCTCACCAAAATGTTAAGGTTTGCTGATTACTTAGATTTGCATTATTATATAGTGATAATGACAAATTAGAAACTACTTCATTGTCGAAACATAATTATTAAATATATTATAGGTACTATCTGTTGCTAACTTTTACATGATAATGACTTTTATTTATATTGTAAGTTGGAAAAAAACCTAAGCACTTATTTTAGTTGTTAAATATTATGGTATCACTATTTTCTTTTGATTTTCAGATTGTTAATGCATACTTCTGGCTCGGAGTCGTTGCATATTTTGTCCTTAAAAGGAGGAACAAGCAAAAGAAAGAATTAAAAGAGAAAGAAGAAATGGAAAAGCAGAAGATAGAAGTTGCTTATGATATTGTACGGCAGTATGAACAGGCTATAGCAAATAATCAGAAGATTTAATAAAAGTCGAAATTAGGAACTTTGAAATTTACTTATAGAACTCTATACCATACTGAGTGGATATTTGATGTTTGTTTACCTATTGAGGAAATTCACAAAGAGAGACACCTTGCACTTAAATAAGGATACGGATTTGATTGAACTGTTGAAATACACTCGCGTCACAGAGTTAACTTTAGAAAGTGGAGCATAACAGCATATGTGAAAAGAGTTCTTTAGGTACAAAAAAGCGTAAATTCAATATTGAGAATATAACAATGTCATATTTCTTGGTTTTCTAGTTGAATCAGTAATTGAATAAACCTTGATCGTTATTTCTCTTTTTATGGTTCTTAATTTACAAATGGTAACATATCTGAAACAATTTGATATATGTCATCTGCTGCTGTTTAACTAATTATTGGAGTTTAGAGAGCTGGAGATTTTTTGTAAAAACTGGGACTAGCTGACATACTGTGGCATAGAAATTAATCTAATACATAATTAAATATGAAAAAGAAAGTTTCTCCTTGCATCAGGGGTAAAATGTTTTTTTGTATGTTATGAATGAGATCACACTTTTACCAACCCTTGCCCATTTCTAAAATGTTGGGTATGTTGCGTAACAATGAACATGGACAAACATTAGTTTCTAAAAATATTAAAAGTCTCCAGTTTTACATATTTGGATTAACCAGTCCCTGTTATTATTTGAGCCCATATCATAATATTCCATTCAGTATTCGTCAGCAGTATTGTGACTAAAATGACACCTAGATCTACCTTTTTCAATGAACATCACAAATCTGGGGTAGCGCTAGCAATTTTTTTCACTTAGCCAAATCACCACATTTTTGTCTATTTGTTATCAAAATGGTTATAATTTGGCTAAAATATGTCAAATCAAGCCCTTTTTCTTTAGCCAATTTAAGTCAGTTTTAGCATTTGGCTAAATTGGCGAGTGTTAGCGCTACCCCAGCAAATGTAAATCGTCATCATCATAAACATCATCAAAATTACTTGCCTGAAATTCCCTGATATGGAATGACACTCACATTTATGTAAGTTAAATGATTAGAAAAGGTTACTTCCAGTAGCCTTAAGTGAGGTACATTTTTATTCAACTTATTGATTCTTACTTAGTCCAGTTGACTGGTTTTAAGAAAATGAATTTCATCAGCTAGACTGTTACAGTAAGGGAAGGCAGTGAACAACATGATAGCACTATACAAAATTTTTTTGTAAGCAAAAGAAAATTCAGTCTTCCTTTCACAAAAAAGGAAAAGTAAAACAAAAAACAGTTTAACAATTATGGGTGGACATCACATGGATAACAAAAATTAATAATATATAGATCTAAAGTAGTCTTATTTTTGTTCAACATATCCGATTTTGACATGTCCTTTTTGAACTTTACATTTACATAAGAATATTTTCTCTTCCAAGTGGTAGACTCTACAAAATGGAAACTCTATCCCTAATAATGTCTACATATCTTAACAACTGCAACCAGTTCAAATTCACATCTAACAACTCAAAAGAGGCTAAGATCCGATAACACCACTATCTTTCGCTAAATATAAGTTTTCTAATGAACTTATGTCACAACAAATGATCCAACTTCAGGCTTTCTTCTGAGAAAATAAACTGTGCTGTAACTTTAGCCCAGTAGCGTTTTATCTTTATGAATACTACTCTCACTAGTACCCTGGTACTACTTAATTTGCATCAGTTGAAGCCGAAAGCTTAGATCTAAGGTTCCTGGGTACGAGTAGGTAGCTAAAAATTACACATGTTAACTCTGGTATTTAGTTCCAATAAATTATACTGTTATGTGGATATGTTTTTACTTAGTAAATCTGAAGTAAAAAAAAACACAGGCTGTTATATGGCGAACCACTCATGTTTTGTAACGCGACTACACGATTAGACGCATGTATTCAGTAGCGTTTGCCTGTGACCGTATTTTCTTTTGAGGTCACTGCACATGCGTGTTGCCTTTAGGGCAGCCATATTGAGAGTGCACAGAAAGAAAAACTTTTTGTTTAGTGTAATTTTTTTTCATAGGAAAGTAAAATGGGTTTTCTAAGATGATGAAATGAAAAGAAACGAACAATGGCCTGTTTCAAGACTTTGAAGGAGGATATAAAGCTTTTGGAGACCACGTTTCCGAAGAATCACGAACGATTTCAGGTCGTTTCCGCGTCTGTTGATGAATTGACTTGTCGATTTATCACGAAAAGCGGAGAACGTTTGGAAATTCACGCAAACATTACAGTGAGTATCCTGGGATAATTAAAAGGACCACATTATACTCCATTTCTTCCTAGATAATGAGGGAAATCATGTAGGGTATATATAATTGTATGTAAAGCATTTGGCACGGTTAACTGATGAAAGTTGTAAAGACATATCTGAAGGAAGGCTTCATTTGCACATTAACCATCTCTTTCCCCCTCTTTTAAAATTAACTAATGCACAGGGACATGTAAAAATGTAAATATTCTTTCATATATACATTTATTCAAGAACGCTTTTCTAGATGTGGGAAAGGAGATTATGTCCACCAGGAGGCTTTGTTTAACTGCCATGATCATTTTTCCATCTCCGGCATACCTATTTTACTATTTTCAATATTAACTGAAGGTGCATATAAAATTATTTAGATGTCAGCCTCAAAATAGACCCTGTCATAATCCATCTGCAGTCACTGGATGCAGCTTTGCAAGGATTTTTGGAGCTGATAATTAATAAATGTAATCTCAGTAGCAGAAAAAAAACAAACACTTTATATCATTTATGAAATCAGTAGGTGACAGATGATGGGATAAAGACAGAGTTTAAAAGAAATTTATATAGTAAGTATGTGCTGAAAACGGTAGCTGGGTATTTCCGTCAGCCTTCAGAGTGGGTCACTGCTCAACTTCTCAAATGAATATGATACATATCTTGTTTTAGGAAACCTATCCTCAGACAGCACCGATCTGGTTTTCAGAGACTGAAGATGCTACAGTATCAACTGCCATAGAACAACTCTGTGATACCACCCCGGAAAATTTCACTGTAAGATTCATTTTTATATTATGATAATGTTGTCATGGTGGAATTAGCCAAAATTCCTCTTTGCAGTTTCATTTTTTGCACCACTTCCCAATCCCATGAGTTGATGTGAAAAGTGGAATCCCTTATTGTTTTCAGATTATAAGACAGGTCCAAATGTTGGTGAGCATACTCAGTCAGCTGCAAGATTTGCCATTGCCACAAGAAATCAGAGGTCTAGACAGGACGTCAACAATTAAAGTAAGTGAGAAATTAAAGATCCCTATTTATTTTATTGTATTGTGTTAAGATGCATCATATACCAGAATTAGGACAGATTTGAGTTCAATACATTCAATAAGTTAACACTTTGAACACTACAAGACTTTATCTATGCAAAAAATCTAAAATTCCATGCCAGGTGTTAGCTTGAGTGTACATCATTTAAATTCTAAGATAATAATTTCAATATCCTTTCAGAATCATCACTCATCTACTTCTAAAGACACAGAGTTATTTGAAGAGGAAGATGAAGATGAAATAGAAGATCATGATGACTTGCATTATGAGATGGAAGAGGAGCAACAGTAAGTGTTTTTACATCAGTGTAAGGTGGAGAAAAAGTATTTTCGTTTGGATTTATGCCTAGTTTTGTTAGAATATTTGTCTGTTTTGATTCATTTTTACAGCACAGAATAAAGAAATATTTATTGCTAATAACTCTCAGAATCATTGTAAATTGCAATGAGCGGATGTGTCTCTGCTGTCCAATACAATTGTTGAGGTATATTCTTTTATAATTTCAAATTTTCACCATCTTCTTTACTTAGATATCATTGAATCTGTTTCTTTGAATTAAATTAATGATTAAATGAATGTATCTGTGCCAAATTGAATGTCTGTTTTTAATTGGTGATACCTACCCAGAAAGCAGTGATCTTCTAGTTATGCCTGAAGTTTAACTTTTCTTAATTGCCAGAGAAAGCAAAGCCAAAGAAGATATTGATGGAATAGATACAGAAAACCTTGTGACTCTTGAAAAATTAAAACAGAGTCAGAGACAAAATTATCTTCAGGTGAGAGAAATGCTACCAAAGGCAGGTGTGTCATTATAGGCATTATGTACATTGATGTAAATGGAATTAGCACTTTGAAAAAGTTAATAGGCATTCTGTACATCAATATAAATGGAATTAGCACTTTGAAAAAGTGTCTTTGTTTCGAGACTTCATTTGCAAAAGAAAAGTGTTAATGTTATGTGTATTTGAGGTTTGTAATGTTATGTGTTTAAACTCTAGGGTGCAGTGACTGGTTCTATTCAAGCTACAGATCGCCTTATGAAAGAATTAAAGGAAATTTATCGATCAGCCAGCTTCAAGAGTGGTAAGAAAAGAGTTGATTTGACCTTTTTAACAGTCATACAGTAACAATTATATATATCACATTTTTTTTGTATTCCCGTGAAGTTTTGTTTGATATAAAAAAGTAAAAAAGTTTTACGTCGTCAAGCTACAAACAATACTGTTGCATTTAGACAATTTAAGACATATTTCTTACTGCCGTAGACCTTGTGATTTTTTCATACTTTATCCTTTTTAGGAACCTACTCAGTAGAGCTAGTCAATGATAGTTTATATGAATGGAATGTGAAAATATATAGGTGAGTATATTTCAGGGACAGTTTGAAAATATGAATTTTTTTTCTTTCTGCATGTCATATTTTGTTTAGAATTATAAAGTATAACTTAATTCATAATGCCAGTATTTTGTTTTCATTCAGAATCATGACCAAAACTAAACATTGATGTTCTGATGAAATATCCAAGGTCATTCTTTCTTAGCTTAACATCTTATGGTGTCTACATATAAAAAAATTGCCAAGAATTGTCTGTGACCGCTCCATTTTTTGCAAACTCTTGATAAAAAAAGTAGATTTCTACAATGGTACAGCTAGCTTTTAGCATGGCACATAATGATGTGTATTAACAGTCTTGACAATTCTGTTGAAGACCTTTATATTAAAGGGATAATAACTCTTCGTATGAGATCTATATTTCNAAAGCAAAGCCAAAGAAGATATTGATGGAATAGATACAGAAAACCTTGTGACTCTTGAAAAATTAAAACAAAGTCAGAGACAAAATTATCTTCAGGTGAGAGAAATGCTACCAAAGGCAGGTGTGTCATTATAGGCATTATGTACATTGATGTAAATGGAATTAGCACTTTGAAAAAGTTAATAGGCATTTTGTACATTAATATAAATGGCATTAGCACTTTGAAAAAGTGTCTTTGTTTCGGTATTAACAAAACTCTTTTGCCAAGACTTCATTTGCAAAAGAAAAGTGTTAATGTTATGTGTATTTGAGGTTTGTAATGTTATGTGTTTAAACTCTAGGGTGCAGTGACTGGTTCTATTCAAGCTACAGATCGCCTTATGAAAGAATTAAAGGAAATTTATCGATCAGCCAGCTTCAAGAGTGGTAAGAAAAGAGTTGGTTTGACCTTTTTAACAGTCATACAGTAGCAATTATATATATATCACATTTTTTTGTTTTACCGTGAAGTTTTGTTTGATATAAAAAAGTAAAAAAGTTTCACGTCGTCAAGCAAGATGCTACAAACAATACTGTTGCAGACAATTTAAGACATATTTCTTACTGCCGTAGACCTTGTGATTTTTTCATACTTTGTCCTTTTTAGGAACCTACTCAGTAGAGCTAGTCAATGATAGTTTATACGAATGGAATGTGAAAATATATAGGTGAGTATATTTCAGGGACAGTTTGAAAATATGAATTTTCTTCTTTCTGCATGTCATATTTTGTTTAGAATTATAAAGTATAACTTAATTCATAATGCCAGTATTTTGTTTTCATTCAGAATCATGCCCAAAACTAAACATTGATGTTCTGATGAAATATCCAAGGTCATTCTTTCTTAACTTAACATCTTTGGGTGTCTACATATAAAAAAAATTGCCAAGAATTGTCTGTGACCGCTCCATTTTTGCAAACTCTTGATAAAAAAGAGTAGATTTCTACAATGGTACAGCTAGCTTTCTAGCATGGCACATAATAATGTGTATTAACAGTCTTGACAATTCTGTTGAAGACCTTTATAGTAATCATGTACCCAAACAAAGAAAAAATTTGGAATATTATATTGTGTTAAAACATAATTTTCTCTTTCATTTTTTTTTTTTAATTCTGCAGAGTTGACCCGGACAGTGCATTGCATAAGGATCTCATGGATTTCAAGAAATTAAAAGGACAGGAACACATAACTATGAACCTCCTTTTCAAAGTATGTGATAGTGTCTGATATAAATAATATTTATGTTATGCTGTTTATTTTATTTTTTTCAATCTGTACATCTTTTTGAGATGATGTAAGGGACATAGGGATATTGTGTGAAAAGAAGGGATGTAAAGTGAGAAACAGATGATAGGTGAAATCTTTGAACAGATGAAATGTGGAATTTTTTTTTTCTTGATGATTGCTGTTGAACATAAATATAAGCATATAAAATATATATTACAGTAGTATGAATGAATGTAGCATGTATTTGAACATTGTTGCAAAATTAACTGACTCAAATTTATTTCAAAGGATTCCTTCCCATTTGACCCTCCATTTGTCCGTGTGGTCCAGCCCATCATATCTGGAGGTTATGTTCTGGGGGGTGGTGCCATATGTATGGAACTGCTCACAAAACAGGTAACCCCTTCTTTAAAGCTGACAGAATTGATCATAGGTCTTATGTAATTGTTTTCTGTGAATTGTATAAAATAAGAAAAAGTATGTGGTAAGGAGTTTCTCTCCGAAGTTTGATATATAACCAAAATAAACAAACCCCCTGAAGATGCGATGAAACCGGTCGGGGTAAAATGAACTGCTGTTTTTTATTTCTTTTTGTCACATATATATATATAATTTTATATTTATATAATTTTTTTATTGATTGATTGATTAAATGCCTTTTCCAACAGGGCTGGACCAGTGCCTACAGTCTGGAGTCTCTCATCATGCAGATAACTGCCACTCTGGTGAAAGGCAAAGCAAGAATCATGTTTGGTGCAAATAAGGTATGCTTACTGCTCAATATTTTTTTTTTTTTTTTTTACAATCTGTAATTAGATGGTAACATTTGAAGTAAAATATTGCAATTCAGATTGAAGGCACTTGTTTCTTATTGTGACTTTTTATGTAATAGTATGTTATTGCAAAGGATATTTTATCATTAGTACTTTATGGATGTGTTAAATACTATCTTAGACATTATACAAATAGGAGAAAGTTCTGTCAAAGGGCAATTCATTTGATATACATCAATATTTTTATTTGCAGAATCAGTACAGTTTAGCAAGAGCTCAACAGTCTTTTAAATCTTTAGTGAAGATTCATGAAAAAAATGGTTGGTGCCTTTTCGTAATAGTCTTTTTGTATCTAGTAATTAACATTGTTTAAATGTTTTACAACAAGACAAAAGACGATATTCAGATATCGTTGGTAATCATTGACTTTCAGTATCAAGTTATATATAAACTAATTTAACTAATTTAAATATTACTTTCTGAGATATTTTATGATTTAAATATCTCAGAAAGTAAGTTACAGATGCTGTCTGAACAGTTCGTTTTAGATCTGGCTTTGTTAACTTGTGTTTTTTTTTCTCTTTTTTTTTTTAATCAGCCTTCCTCAGACTGATAGTAAGATGACTGACTGCAAGATGATGTTACAGCTATGACTGTTATCAATGTCCATTAATACACATGATTTGTGTTACTTTTCAGGTTGGTTTACTCCCCCAAAAGAAGACGGTTGAGGTTCTCCATAAAATAGAAATCTAGGGATTCTTCAACTTAATTCAACACACCTATCAAGCAATATTGAAGCTCGAGGCATTTTAATGAGATAAACTCATGATCTCAAAACTAAAGAGAAAGATAAGCAGAACTAATGGCTAATTTTGCACCAGTTGGCTGTTGAGCAGCATTGGAAAGGAACAGAAATTTTGTGAAATTGGCCAGGAAACATTTGTCCTTGTTTACGTATTACTTTAGAAAAATATTCGAAGGACTTCCATTTATTATTGATAACTGCTTGATGCAGTCGCCACGCTGATTGAAAATGAAATTATTTTGATATAATTAATACTTGTAACTTGAATAACTGCAATGTGCTTTCCAGCAGTAATTCCTCTATGACTTCTGCATGCATGATATGACAAATACTGTTGCTGTATCATGAGTTGGCTTGATTAACAGAATATTGACCTTTATAATGCTTAGACATTTTGCATCATGCTGTACCCATTTTTGCTATAGTATCATCAGCCACATCAAGCAGGAAGGGATAATTCTGTTTTAGTAATGTTACGTTTGGGTTAATATTTTATATAAGTGGACTATTTGTTTTTATCACAGACAAATAGGTGGTGTAATATACTTTAAACACACATCTTCTGTCCATTAATTTTTCAGTGTATCAAGTAAGCATAAGATGTGTAAAGAAAATTAAAAGTGAATGGGTTCTAGTTGTAATTTGGTTAAAAAACACAATACATATTCTTTAAAACGACTTTGCAGATTTTTTTCATCAGTCATGGTAAATGGTGGTTTTTTAACACTTTGCATGTTACCCTGAAGAGGTGTCCACACATTCAACGGATAGTTGAATTGGGGATGGCATTATTTTAGTATTTAGCAATGGTTATTAATAGTTTTTATTCAGTTAAAATGACCCTTGATTTTTGCAACAAAGTTTTTGATACCACCACCACTTTCATGTAGACGTTAGTGTGAAATAAATGTATTTGTGTATTTATTAAAACCTGATTCAACCTTTTGTTTCTTAATAATCAACATGTAAAATGACTGCCTGCACACTTATCTTGCAGAAGAAATTATACCTCGCCCTTTAATGAAGATGCATTATATTGTGTGCATGTCCAGATCTTACTGAAGCCACAGTGGGAGCAGGTGCTGGATCCTATGTACATTTCTTGTTATCGCCATAATCTTTAAATAATAAAGTAGGCAACTTCATGTGATTTAAGTTTAATTTTGCTGTACCATTATTAGCAAGAGGTCTGTGCTGCAAACACCTTTATGTACAAAGCACTATTACCTGTACAACTCGAAAAAAATACAGCAAACGGCACTGAAGATAAATTACAACTGAAATCACCTGCCCCAAAATTTTATCAATGCCTGTTGATTTTCTCAGATGTTGATTTTCTCAGATGCCCACTGTGCCCTATGCCCCCCCCCCCCCAAAAAAAAAAAAAAGAAAGAAAAAAGGTAAGTTTGACTCCAACATTGCATCTCAAAAGTTATGAATAGCATAAATTAAATTTTAAAAAAATGGTTGTAGGTAAAATATTTGAGGCACTGTAGAAAATGGATCCTGAGAGGTAAAATTGCTTTAAGTGGTATTATATGGTTGGTTAGATTTTTTAACCTTACAAAATATTAATTTGCAAAAGCCGAAGCTAAATCTGTTGAAAACTGTAAAATGTGTTACATAAGTATGAAGACCGCATACTTATCAGAAAGACTGCAGCTTGGAGGAAAAGGGACCATTTGAAATAGAAGATCTTGAGTATCAACTGGTCCAAGGCTTAAATATGGCTGACCCTACAGGAAAGGAAGACTGTTTAATCCTGTAATGGTCTCTATGCCTCTCACACTTTCCCATGTGTCGTCCCTGCAGGGACACAGTAATTAATTCCCAGTCATTGATTAAATCTCAATCAGACATGTGGGGAGGCATGTGAGAGGCCGAGAGACCATTACAGGATTAAACGGTCTTCCTTTCATGTAGGGTCTGCCATATTTGAACCTTGGACCAGTTGATACTTGGATCTTCTATTCTGAATGGCCCCATAGATTGTAAAAAAAAAAAAAGAACACTTTCCCCATTTCTATTTTGTTTTGAATGTTTGTGCAAATATTTGCATTAAGAATGTTATGTGTCCTTGACAAAACCTTATTACAAGAAAGCACGATAGCAATAATCTTAAAAATCTTGAAAATGCCCTCATTTCCGATATTGGGTTGCCTCTTGGGGCTGCATAATATCGACGCACAACATTGCCCACTTTACTTTACAAGAGTGAAGAGGAGAAAACGTGAGAGGAGTCGAAGTTCCCTGCCAAGGGCAAACATTTTGCGGCATGGACAAATTCAACAAAGGAAAGGAGATGCTAGGTGATGTAACGTAAGTCTGACTTAAATGAAAATGAGCTGTGTCTTGAGTCGAAGGGTCTTAATAATATTAAATTATCCAAGTCTAACCGATCAAAGCCAACGTGATCACAAATCTCGATTCCTCGAATAGAATCTGATGACACTTGTTCGATTTCACAGTGCACTCTTCTTTTTTTGCGTCATCATCAATGGTGAAGCATCTTGACAAAATATTGATTAGTGCAGGAACCCATAAAAGGAAACGGACTATTTCTGTACACATACTCAGTGTTTCCCCTGGCTTTCAAGCTCTGCGAGGTGGTAGGCAGTCCGCGATCCCAGCAATACTAGGGGGGTCCGGGGGCATGCCCCCCCGGAAAATTTTTTAAACCGAGGTGCAATTTGGTGCATTTTAGGGTATTTAGAACTGATTTTTTTTTACATTTTATGTCGCACTGAATTGTCTTGTTTTAGATGTTTTGAGGAGTAAATTCAGTAATAACATAACAAAGGTTTGGACAAAATTTATTTTCCAGTCTGAGCATTCACTCAGTTTAGTCCTTTTCAGTTTATAGAACATACTCTTTCAAAAAAAAAAAAAAAGTTAATACTTTCAAAAAAAAAAAAAGTTAACTACTTTAATACTTACAAGAAACGAGAAAAAGGGCTTACTACATTGAATTAATTTTAAATTGACCAAAAAGTTGATAAAATATGTTGTTTTTACCGTTTTCACATTCTTGTGAAAGTAACTGGTCAATTGACTTTGCGTGTGGGAGCGCTTCATCCTAATATAAAACTGCCGCAAAAAGTTCTCTCTTGTCGTTCAGCGCAAAGCGACTCCCGCTACTAGTTATACGTAGTTTGAGATGTAATTTATAATCAACAACTTCAAACACCGTTAAATGAATTCTTCGGAATTAAGGAGATGAAAATCACACTTATCATCAATTTTAGTTCTTCATTTATTCATGTTTATGGTTCTATTCAGTCATGGAAATTCATATTCAATGCATAGGTTTCCACGCGAAATACTGACGTGACCCAGTTTTACAACGCTGCTGCTTTCACAAAACTCACCCGTAAATCAATAGAAAATCTTCTCCAAGTTTATAAAATCAACGAAGTCCACTTTATTTGCTCCTTTTTTATCAGTGAATATTCGTAAACTATAAAAACAAACAACAGGCGGTCTGAATTTCGGAACATGAAGTGATAGAGAAAGTGCATTCTTGACACGTGATTAAATGGTGTCAAGAACAGTTGCCTCGTTTCACTTTGTCTCTTATACTTCAAATAAGGCACAGAACTGCGAAAACGAGGCACTCACAGGGTGATAGTAACTGCTGGTTATTTTTAGGCATACGCGCATGCGTATTTCCGATACTACTAAACCAAGTGCTCAGAAGCATGGGATTACGTATGTAAACAGAAAATGCCATATTTGCTTAGAAATAAATATAATTTTCAGTTAGCATGAGTGAAAATATACTTTGTTGTTCCATATAGCCCAGCGAGGCGGTGCTTTTGACAAATTTCAGCGAGGCGCTTGCAAATATCAGCGAGGCGGGCGCCTCGCTCATTTAAGTGCAGGGGAAACACTGCATACTAATAAGTGTAGCACTAGCAGTAGTAAATTAGCATTTGCGTCAGACTCATTGAGGCAGATAAGCATATCCTAATTTCTAAAGGACTAGGGGGTGACATGTAAAGTGGCATGAAGTCACACCAAATGATGTGGACTTAAGCAGTATGCCTCCCTTAATAACAAGCCAAAGACTAGAAAGTAGATTGCAAAAGGAATTTATTTGAACAGCAGGGATCAAAGTTACCATTTAACTCAATTTCAAAAAAGAAAACGATCAAAAATTCAAGGTTTGCAGGGGAGTGGGGGGCATATTCATAATAACCAATGGCTAGTGTAATCATTAGATTTAAACATGCAACAGGGCAAGTTTTTTTTATTCACCCCCACCCAAATAAATTATTATGAGATATAAAATAAGACCACCAATAATTCTGTAAAGCTGTTTTATCCAGAATTATGGATGAAAAAATTAAGTGATGTTAAAAAAGGGAAGTTAGCCTGGTCATTGAAGGCAACAAAATGGGCTTGAAGAGTTTATTCCTTGAAAACTTCTTAAAAAAAAAAAAAAAAAAAAAAAAAGGTGCAGAACATACCTCCATCTAGTTAAAACCAGACACCACTGAATAAGTATCAGTCCTGCTGGAAAATGACTATATTCAGCATTTCTGTAGAAAGAACAAGACCAGAAATGTCTCACTAACTTGTATATATTTATGAAGTTATCAGTCTGAAGCATACAGTTATGTGATTATTTTTTTCAGCTTCATTTGTAGATATTTAATATGTCATTTCTGTGTTAAGGGCTAAGGTAACAGAAAAAGGCACAAAAGTCTATGAAAAATTGACTGGACCAGAAGGAGAGCAGGCTGCCTCTAGGATAAAGCAGTCTGCGGGAAAACTTGGACAACAAACTTATGCATTTGGTGCAAAAATTAGTGGTATTCTTTCTCCGTATATTAACACAAAAAGCGACCAGGGCAAACTGAGAGTAAGTCCAATGTGAATAAATTTGTTTTTACTATTTTAATTGTAAAAGACCTTTCATTTTTTAAAATATATTAATATTGTGAGAAAGTGTATGTAATATTTCTTTTTCATTTAAGGATAAGAAAGTTATATTTATATTATTTCTTTTAACCATATCCAATATTTCACTTTCGATATCATTGTTTTTGTCTTTACTACAGTAACTATTAACTATTTTTTTCTTTTTGGCAAATAACATTACTGGCGTGCAACACATATTACATCTTTTATTTGTTTATTTCAGCTGGGATATACTGTTATTGCACTTTTTATTGGATACCAAATTTTTAAGCAAATGAAGAAAAGAAGCAAAACAGTTGTTGAAGACAAAAAAGAACAAGAGAAGTTGGCATGGGCTGTACAGGTTATATCACAGCATGAAAGGAAACTAGCAATAGACCAACAGGCCTCACTAAAGCAGCTACAAGAAAAAAAATAACTGTTCTTAAATTAGTTCAATTTGGAAGATGTTTCAAGACATTTAATTTAAGCTGTTCCTTTGTTACTGTATACGTATGACAGTTATAATCCTTATATTACATGTCTTGCCATGGGTATCTCTCTTTTTCACAGTCATTGGAGTGAATTTTTTTTTAAATGGCACATTTGGGAATATGGTCACAGTTCACTAATTTTTCAGATTCAATTTTGTTGGGAAATGGGTGTGTGGCAACACGGTACCAAAAGCAAGTCTTTTCACAGTGAACAGTCCAGCTGTCATTTGGAGAGCTGTCAGCATCACTGGGCAGCCAGTGTCTTAAAGATTATGATTTATTTATTTATTTATTTATTTATTTATTTATTTTTGAAAATGATGGCTTATCATTTTGGAATTGTGGTTTAAAGTAGGTGCATATGAATTATAAAAATATTGTTTACACTTTATCTGACTTTCGTATCACTTGAAATTAATGAGACAACTGCTATTTGTACACAGTCAAGTAAAGGTCTGTTGTGTCAGAAAAATGATGGGTTTGGTGTCTCAGACATTGTCTTCCAAACAATAAACTTTTTGTTTATTGCTCTTTAATAACCTAATTCAAGTCTTTTCCATATACCCAGTCTCCCATACCTTTCTGGATTTCTAGGATTTTCTGAGATGCCCTTCAGCACCTTAATTAAGACACACTTGATAGCCTAAAGACCTTCAAAACAGGCCCCCTTTATAAGCACTAGAGCTTGGGGAGGAAGAGAGGTGGGAGATAATCGGTATGTCAACCTTGTTTATTGGTTGTTTGGAACTGCAGTAATTTTTTGTGCCACAAGCCCGTTTATCTTTCAAGTTAAATGTGTCAAATGTTGCATATATAATGGTGCAAAAGAGCAAGTGGTACCTTGGGACATGTTAATTATGAACATGCACAGTCTATATTTACATATAGCCATCGCCTGTCTGTTGTCATGGCCTTTCGCTTTCCACTGTTTACACAATAAGTGGGTAACCATGTGCCCGATTTTCCTCAAATATTCATAGCACTAAATTACGGATCAGGTTCCAAAAGTAGCTTTAGTGAGACGTTTTTCTAGAAGTTATCTTTTTTTCACACATTGGCATGTTCAAGATATCAATTTGAACTCCCTACTTGGGCATAAAACCTATTTTCTGAATGTCCACATTTACAGTAGTCCGCAATTGAAATTGGTGGTATTAACTGCTATGTATAACTGCATCAAAATACTCACTGGTACACTATCATCGTCAAGACTATAAAAGGAAAAACCGTAGTTATTATTGCCAAACTGTTTCTGAGGGCAGAAATGCAGCTTCAGTTTGTGAAAACCAGTCTGATTGGCTTTTTCTTGAAGAGTTTCTGCTGATTTTCATTTATTTTTCATATATCACACATTGGCATTTCTAGGTGTGGCTTTGAAAACCATGGGCCTGAAGCCAAGTGCTAGTTACGCTTTCTGAATGTCCTCATTAACAATGGTACATGGTTCAAGCAGGTGGTGGTTATGCTGATATACTGCATAAAAATTGGCAACCTATTTTGTGCACTATCATAGCTACGTATCTGCTTTATGTCGAAAGGGATATTTGACAGTTTTGCTGGCTCGTTTTTATTGTATGCATCAAGGGACTTGGTCACCTTATTTTGTTATTGATAGCTTAAATCTATTTAAGCTCAAGTTAATTTGTTATTAAAAGTGTATCATAATCTGAAAAAGTGCTAATAATACCCGTTTGTTCTTCGAATTATTTAATCAAATGAAAATTATCCAAATTCGATTTAAAAAGAAAAAGGATAAATTCAATTAATTCCTCTTCTTAAGGACAACAATATTGCGTGTTATACAGGCGGAATACGCCAAAGCCGGTCAATATCTTGGCAGTGGTAACTTCAAGCGTCTTCTTTCGTGTTGAACTTGTTACACGAGTCAAGCGCAGAGAGGGGTACGAGGTGAACACGACTGAATAGTGAAGTAACCGTATACATGAAAACCCCATTCCTGGAATTGGCTCTTTGTAAATCGACAGAAGTAACGAAATTTATTATGTTGGGACTTGGACGAATAAACAGTTTGGGATAAATGATGTATTATATTAAATGCAAAGAACCCGTGGTCCTTCGAATAGGGTTATTTTTTTTCCTATTTATTATTACTATAAGTTGTAATACCTGATTAGCACCTGCCTAATTTGGACACTTAAGAGGATTTTACTTTCTGCAAACGGAAATATTAACCCTCTCCGACGCTCCGCCTTCTGCTTTGAGTTATGAAATGTGGAATGACTGCATATACAATGGTGTTATCGTTTGTATCGTCCATGCGCCCAAAGCCTGAGAGTTGGAGCGTAATATAGACACTTTCATACTCAGGAAACTTATTTGATTGCAGTAGGGCACTTGCAGGATTAAAGGGCAATTACCAGTATTTGCCTACCTATATCGTATCATCGACCTGCCATTCTACTAGCTAAACTTGCACGTCGTATTTAAGCCCTGAAAAGACGTTGCGAGGCCCTGTCTCGTTCCCGTTGCCACCAAGTTTAAATTGGATACTGTTTCCCCGTGTCCAAGGGGTCATGTCTATACGCCACCGCACCGATACGTCCCCGTACCGATACTCCCCTTGTAAATTTTTACTCTATGCGCATCTATAAAATCCCATACCTACCGGTATAGATCCCATGTAAAATTATCACAGGAAAACCCTAAATGGTGTAGCTTTTATGCTTTTAAATCGCCTACACTTTGGAGTTGGCAAACAACTTTGAATAAATACATTTTTATGTACAGACACAGATGTGTCTGTACATATTGCCATCACCTGCGTCTGTCGTCGCCGTCGTCGCCGTCGCCGATGCCGGCGCCGTGCACTTTCAGCGTTATTTAAAATTCCAACCATAGAATCGTGTGACTGTGTTTAATTATTCAGGTTATGTATGAATTTTTCAGGGCCTCAGAAACCATCATTATCTCCTCTTACGCACTAATGTACATTATCTCCACTGAAGTAGTAATGCTCTGTCCCGCACCAGTGATGGTAATTTTTAGCTTTTATATCGTTATCAAACATCGTCGATTTTGTTAACAAAAGGTCTACAAGTACCAGTATACAGGTTCTTTTGATTTGTTTTCTGGAACATGACAGTTACATCAAGATTGTACAAGACAAAAGATAAGTGCTGTTCGTTGTTGGTTTCCTAATAACAATTTCGAATAAAATGTCTTTTTTCGTTCCACAAAGGTGCACTTTTACAAAAAAAAATCTAATAGTTTTTAATCAAGATTTTTTTTAATATGGATATAACATTTTTACCAAAGCTAAGGGAATCTATGCTGTGGGGGAGCGTCTGCGCTGGGGAGTAACGGTACGGCGGAGTATGGGTGTATAGGTAATGTCGAGAACGGAAAGAGGATTACATTCGCGATCTTGATGTCTGAATACCATCTCGGTCCAACAGTACGTGGGCGCCTTTCCAATGTTTGATGTGGGGCAAATTTGACCGATAAGTAATTTGTTAATGACCTCATGAGTAACGTATCTGTAACGGTCAATTAGCGTATTTTAAGTATACCTAAGGCTAATGCTTGATAAACGTTCGGAAAAAGTATCCCAACACTCTGTGATCTGCTGTATAGTGCCATTTTAACATTATTATCATCATGAGTCTACCAGTTGGAGAGGGTGGATGTAGCTCTATTACAGCACGAATTGAACCTGATCCATTCGGCACTGCACTATTATTAATAAAATAAAAGTAGGAGAAGACGTCAAAACTGAGTGATACCATGAATTTGAAGGCGATGCAAGCTTGGCCTGTATGATCAGTTGATAGTGGAGCTAAGAAACGAGGACCAAAGTTTCTTAAAGAACTTTTTGCTGATGCCACCTGAGATGTTTGGTGAGATTTTACACAAACTGGGGCCTTTGGTAACAAAACAACATACTAAATACAGCCCCCTTGAACCTGGCCCTAGGCTCGCAACAACTTTGAGGCACCTTACCACTGAGGATTCTTAATCTATGTATGTATGTATGGGTTGGGGTGCTCTGCAACACCCAGTCATAGCCGTTAAAGAAGTCTGCCAAGCCCAAGTCGAAGAGTATTTGCCAGAAGTGATGGACTGTCCTACTACTCCAGACGGGTGGCGTGCCATACCAGACAGATTCCTGAAGAAGTGGAACTCCCCCAATAAGTGGTGCAATAAACGGGAAGCTCATTTCCTGCAGGTGTCCTCCCAAAAGTGTTTCTCTCTTCTACAACTAGGGGGCTTTACTATATAGTCGTCCTGGCCCTGGTAACCGCTGATTACAAGTTCATCTGGGCAGATATTGTAGCCTCAGCATCGGATGCAGAAGATGACGCCCTAGTGTTCTCTCCCCAGATCACCTACCCATTTGTGGTAAAGTATACCACTTGCGATGGCACACCTTGATTATTCATACGATATTCAAACACAAGTTATACGGTTTAAATACGCTATCGATAAATACGCTATTTCTACGCTGCTTATTCGTTCTTTCTCATACAATGGAAAAATGAAAGGGCGATTTCTTATGCTCTTAATTTTGCGTGTAATCGATTTCACATACGATACCCACGCGTTCCTCTTTTACACTAGGTTTGACAGCGCCCGAGGTGTCTCTGTCAGTACCCAGTGTCAAGATGACGTTTCCCAGTGTTATTTTAACATAAAATCTTGAGAGAAATCTATCACAAATAAACAATTTTTTGGGGAAAATTGTATGCAGAGTGTGTCCCGAGCGCATGCATGCGTGCTTTACCTTTGTCTAATATCTGTAGTATTTTACTGTCATTCTAACTGAATGAACGCTGCTTTTTCACCTACACCCTAGCTAAAACTAATGGAATATTCCAAAAGCGTATTGCACCTACGATTAAACTTCAAACGAAGACAAAATGTAACTTACAACCAGATCATTGGTGTTTTATTATAATTCCTTGCACTACCTTAAAGTTACAGTATATTTCAGATTATTTATTTGTTTGGGTATCATCTCGTGAGCAATTGTAAATTTGCTGAAACATCTGATATCGGTAATTTATAGAGAAAAACAAGTGTTATGCTCAAGGAAAATGGGTTAGGAGGCATTTCTGTAGCATTAAGAATTTGATCAAACCCGCACGAAAATGCAGTAGTATCGAAGTAGCAAAGAAGCATTAACGCAGTAGTGGTGTGGAGCATATTTGCAGTAGAAATGCAGTATAGCCTACTGCAATTCTACTTCAAAAAGTACATAGGGTTGTACATAGGAGGAGCATTAATGCAGTAGATTAGCAGCATGATAGAAGCATGTTTCAAATATGCTAATTAGCTCCCCCATCGAAGCAGATTTGAAGCATGTTTGCAGTATGATTGCAGTAGTCTACTGCGCTGGAGTATCTACTTCGTTTTCGTGCGGGAAGAGTCATTATCTCGGGTACATGTAGCTGCCCCAAACCCGGATGCCGTCATCTTTTTTTTTTTTTTTTTTTGGTACTGATTTAACTAGTTTCTGGATCTAGTTGGCACAGATTAATCCACCCCTGCCTCAGCTCATCTCACAGTGGGTCTAGAG